CAATGGGGGACTGGTGGAGTAACTAAAAAATTAGTTGCATTCAGTACGTACACAAAATTTTGCGCAAATGATATCCGTTTATTGTCACAGTTTAATTTATAAAGTGAATTTAGACTTTGGATTATAGTAATTTTAAGACTCACTTCTTATTTAGAATTGATATTTATTTTTTATTATTTTTAGTATTGTCTTCCTTCTACATATGTTCGTAATTTAAAAATAAAAATAATTTACATACATAAAGAAGGTATTTATATTCCGCTATCCGATAACACCTCTTATCGAACTAATGTCTATGTCTTAGCATTTCTTACTTTTTTGTTGTCTGGTACCTGCATTATAGCACGGTTAAATTTAAGTTCGCTCAGAGAATTTCCACATTGAGAGGGTAAAGCGCTCCTAATAACAACGACTTCATACTCAGAGCTTGAATATAAAACTTTTGATTAAGATCAAAGAATACTTACCATGTCACTACAATTCATGTTGGCGCCTTAGCATCCCTATGTACTACAAATAAATGATGGGGATGGAGAATGAGGATATGATGTGAGGGTGTGGGGGCCCATTTCATGTACAAACTATTTATTTATTATTTTATTTATGTATATCTATTTTAAAGAGAATATACGGCAAAGACAAGAGAAGGCAGCATTACAGCATCACATGACTTTATTAGTTGGAAATTCAAAATCCCATTGGAAATGGGGTGGATCCATGTTCTTAGTTTCTGCTATGCTCATACTTGGAAACTTTTATTATTTTTTAATATCTATATGATATAATTAAAAATTTGGAAAATACAAAAAATAAAAATTAAAAAAATAGCTGAATCTTCTCATCCACATGCCAGCATATAAGGAAGGGGGTTCTGGTGCGTTCAGCTTAAAAACTGATCCCATGTGCTTCTCTTCTATGTTTCACGTCACTCTTCCTTTTTTTCTTTCTCTTTCTCTTGAAAGCGATTCGTCAACTACTTGCTTTTCCAACATTTTCTTTTTTGGTCTTCTCTTTTTTGAGAAATATTTAATGGTGGATTTGATTTTTTTTTTTTTTAATTTATTGTAACGTTTTGAGTTGGGCCACTTAAATTTGTCTATTGGGATGGTATTTGTGATGCATCTTCTAACTTCCGTAATTTATATATTTTGTTAGTTTGGTTGATGCACTTTTTATTAATTTTAACTTGAAGGTTTTTTTTACCTTTCCGGGAGCTTTCCACTTTGCTCCTTTAATGACTCGAATTCACAATCTTTACGTTTGAGGTGAGGGTACTCAGAGGCGGACCCAGGATTTTTACACGATGGGAGTACATTATTCTGTTCAACCAGTGCCCCCTAAAGGCTTTTAGTGTTCAGGGTGCCAAGTAGTTTAAATTAATTAGGTATATAAATATACGTATACAAAAATTTTGCCGAAGCTTACGGGGTCCAGTAACCTCTCATTACAACATGTAGGTCCGCCTCTAAGGGTACTCACCACTTTACACTAATTATAAATAGTATTTTTCTTCTCTACTTTCATGTGGGACTTTGTTCACACAGACCCAACAATCTCCCCGTTAAACTAAGTTTCACATCATCATTGATGAGCTAATTTGGAGATTAACTATATGCCACCTACATGATCCCACTATTACTTCAAATGTTGTTTATGTGTGGCAAAGGACTAAATTGGCCCTATGCCATACTCAGTTATCTTCATACTTGTCCCACCAAAACTATTGTTGGGCTAAAACGGCCCCAAAATTATGTTGTAATATTGTCTGCTTTAGGCCAAGCCCGCATAGTTTTTTTTTAAAATAACCATTAGGAGTATCCTACTACTTATAATTAGCTTATTTTACATTTCTATTTTTCATGTAGGACTTTGGTAACACACCCAACAGAAGAAAATAGAACAACGTTGTTCAATATGCATCGTGTTCTTTTTAATTATCTGCCATATTATAGATCAGCAATACTGATAATGATAAAGTATTTACAAACGTACAAAAAGAAATTCACCAAGTAAATGAAATGGCTCATGAAGCTACTTCGCCTCAATTCACTACAAGAAATTGGATAATTAGTGGCGACATTTAGCAGCAACCCAAAAAGTTGCTACAAAATGTATATTATCAGCAGCGACTTTAAAAGTCGCCACAATTTGAATATATTTAGCAGCGACTATTTATGGGTCGCCTCTAAAGTGACTAAAATTTTCACTCCCGCTAAAACTAAAATTTTGGCTCCATATTTATTGTGGCGACTATTGTGAAGTCGCCGCTAAATATTAATTGCAGCGACCGGGTCGCTCCTATTACCTTTTAAAATAACAAAAGAAGCTAATTAAGCAAACTAGAAATTAAAATAACAAAGAAACACTAAAATCGGTCCAGACTTCCGAGACAGAAGTGAAGAACACTCTCATCTCTCGAACACATCGAATCGATGTCAAGAACAGGGAAATGCCCAAAATCCGTCCTCTATAGCTAGAAATCCCGAATTAAAACCCAAAATCGGTCCTCTCTAGTTAGAAATCTGTCCAGATATAGAAATCCCAAATCGAAATCCCTCAAAAATCTCTCCCAAAATGAAATCCCTCGAATCAGAATGTGAATCCGATTGGGTGTTTATGATAGTTGCCGGAAACTTCATTTTGAAGCTAAATCTCAAGATTGGAAGCTGGTTTGATACGAGTTTTGGTTTGAATTTGTGAATCGAGTGTGCGAAGAAGAAGACCACTAGGGTCTTTCGATTCAAAGCTTCTTTAACTTCAAGTATTCAAGAACTTGATTACTGCTGCGGAAGTCGGCAAAGGGCAAGAAGATATAAAAGTGAAATTTTAACAACTCAGGTATGTTAAAATCCCTAATCTTTTAGACTCGGCATTTAGAACTGTACAACTCCTTGCTAAAGCTTTAGTCGGGTCATATTTTAAACTAGTTCAGCTTGTACCCCATAGCGTGCTTCTTCCTTGTCGTGTTCGAGATTTAAAGGAATAGTATGAAACTACAAATCTGATTGAATATTGTTAATTCCCTAAAGACTTGACAGCGACGAAGTTTATGTGGCCAGCTAGTATGATTTCATGGCATGCTGTATTTGTTTCTGCTGATTTGTCGTGCATTGTTTTGTAGTCGAATTGCAGTGTTTTAAGTTAGGTTCAAGTTTTCTACCCATTTTATTCCAAATAGATCTCTTTGGACAGTGTGTGCTTGAATTTGTCGAAATAAGCGTAAATTAACACAACCTTCCGCAAAAGCTGTTATGCAAAAGCTGTTGTTTCCGCAAAAGCTGTTGTTCCGCAAAAATGAAACAATTTTCCAGTTTTCTCTTTTTTCCTGCCCATGATTGTCCATCAAGATGTCCTCCTGCTGCCTTTTTGCTCTCGATTTTACCTAGTTTCTTGTTGTTTTTTTGTTGATTTCCACTCTTGGATTCCTTCATTGTATGTCCTGCTGTGATGAGGTGTTGTATTCCCAATCCAATTTGTACTATGCTTGTCCAAAAATCCTAGCCAACATTGCCTTGTGGATTGCCATTTCCAAATTTGCTCCATCATAAATTGCATGAGCTCCATGTCGCGTGTGATTCCTATGTTGCTGACTGACCTTGTTCTGTGACTTGATGCCTGGGGTGATGTATTATGGTGCTGCATTTGTCTTATCTGTTGAGAAGCATCCATCATCAATGAGAAGAAAGAGCACAATGTCCTTGTCCTGTTGGTAGTAGACTGTTCTGCAATTTTTATGTGTGGCAGTGAGTGTTGCACTCAAATATGCCTGGCTCCCTGTGTCCTGAATTTTCTTTCCTCTCCTATGTTGCATGAGTCGTGTCCAAAGCTATATCATCCAGCTGATTTCTTTTAACTCAACTGTCCACAGGATGTATATATATGTGACACAGTCTTTTTGAGTGTTTCCCTTGTGAATTACATATTGTTTTCCTAGCTCTGTGATTGCAGTAAAAATTTGGATTTCTGAGAAAAGCTGTTTGCAATTCCCAGATATTTGAGTTTGCAACCTGCTCCTTTTTGTCTCTAGACTTTTAGCCACCTCTTAACTTCATTCCACTGGGCTGGGTGCAAAGCACCAATACCACCAGCTGGAAATCCATTAGAAAGTAGTGCTTAGAGACCTCACCTGCAAAAAAGAAATTTTCCTTTGCTAGTTTATTTTGGATTACATGATTATCTTTTTTGTTATTTGATTTTCTGCATATTAGCTGCATGTTTCAATACAATTTTTCTGTTTAAGTTGGGTGTTTTTATGTGGACTTCTTGTTAAGTTTAATGCTTAATCTATTGATGTTCTGACCTGAGTTAGTTTTTAGTTTTGTTTATAGAGTAGAGTCCCTTGTTCTTTCTGCAAATATATCTTACTGTGACAAGAGCATGCCTTTGTCCAGTGAATCTCTTTGTTTTGTCTTGCCTTTGTCCAGTAGATTTCTTACGGTTTGCTGCATTTTCATGTTTGGCTACTAAAGGAAATTTAGTGTCATTTCTGCCACTCAATTGGTACTGACAAGCTTAGGCCTCCACAATTTTCATACGAGCAACTTGTTTTATGATTGAATAATGTGTTTTTGTGACTGCTTGTCTGAATACCCTTGGTATATGTTAATTATTATATATATTTTGATTATTATAATCCTTCCCCTTTTAATTGGTAAATTAATTTATTTATTTTTTTGATATAGATATGATGGATAAAAGTTGGTTGAATATTAGGAATAGAGTCGACCAAAGATATAGAGATGGAGTAGACAACTTTCTTAATTAGGCATTCAGTCAATCAACGGTGAACACTGTGACTCGGTGTCCTTGTAATGGGTGAAGGAATTCTGTGTTCAAGCTAAGGGTTGGTGTAAGAGGAGATTTATTGAAGAAGGGTTTCTGGGATTCTTATAAAGTGTGGGACTTGCATGGAGAAGTGTTAGTTAGAGTTGAAACTTCTAACACTGCAGTTAGTGGTGAAGCGAAAGATGATAGTATTGAAGAGGTTAATATTACTCGAAATGATTCACGATGCTTGTGGATATACGAATGTGGAGGATAATAATAATAATAATTCAGAGGACAATGAAGAGCCAAATGTACATGCAACAAAGTTCTACAAATTGTTAGAAGATGCTGAGACAGAACTTTATCCTGGTTGTAAAAAAATCTCGAAGTTGTCTTTTGTTGTTAAACTACTTCACTTGAAGTGTCTTAACCATTGGAGCAACAAATCGATGGATGCATTATTGAGCTTCTTTAAAGAAGTTCTTCCCGAGGGGTCATTTGTGCCTAATTCTTTCTATGAAGCAAAGAAAGTTCTTTGTGACCTTGGCTTGGGGTACACCAAAATAGATGCATGTCGGAATGATTGTATTTTATATTGGCGTGATTATGCCGATGTCCAAGCATGTCCTAAGTGTGGTAAGTCTAGATGGAAGTCCGAAGAACACGGAGGCAAGAAAGTAGCTCATAAAATCTTGCGGCATTTTCCAATCAAACCAAGGCTTCAAAGATTGTACATGGCAAGAGAAACAGCTAAAAAGATGAGGTGGCACAAGGAGGGAAATGTTGATGATGGTGTCTTGCGACATCCATCTGACTCAATAACATGGAAATCCTTTGATGCACGACATCCCACCTTTTCAGCTGAGTTAAGAAATGTTCGATTAGGTTTGGCGAGTGACGGGTTCCAACCTTATGGGAACATGAGTTCTAATCATAGCATTTGGCCAGTCGTACTAGCTACGTATAACTTGCCACCATGGGATTGCATGAAAAATCCATATTTCATGATGACACTTCTTATTCCAGGCCCCAAGTGTCCAGGCAATGATATCGATGTATATTTACAACCAATGATTGAAGAGTTGAAAGAATTATGGGACGGGGTGGAGACTTATGATGCACACTCAAAATCTAATTTTCTGATGCGTGTGGCTATCATGTGGACGATCAATGACTTTCCTGCATATGGAAATCTTTCAGGATGGTCAACCAAAGGCAAGCTTGCATGCCCTTGTTGCCATAAAGATACACAATCGACTTCCTTGCGTAGTAAGTTGTGTTATATGGGTCATCGTCGCTTCCTTCCCATGGACCATCCATGGCGGAGAAGTAGGACGTTATTTGATGGGAAAGTTGAAATGGGAGTTGCACCTAACCCTTTAACAGGTGATGAAGCACTTGTGCAATTACAAGCTTTGGGTAATGTGAGTTTTGGTAAAGGACAAAAGAGAAAGCGTGATGTTCATAGCAATGCGTACAATTGGAAGAAGAAAAGTATCTTTTTCCAATTGCCTTATTGGAAGAGTCTTATGTTACGACATAACCTTGATGTGATGCACATCGAAAGAAATGTGTCCGATAATATTATATCAACTGTCATGAATATGGTTGGAAAGACAAAAAACACATTGAAAAGTAGATATGACTTGATGGATCTTGGAATCAGACAAAGGTTGCATCCTATTGAGGATGGGAATAATATTTTGTTACCGGCAGCATGCTATGCATTGTTCGCGGAAGAGAAGCTGAAGGTATGCAGTTTCTTAGCTAATCTGAAGGCTCCTGATGCATTTTCCTCAAATGTTTCAAGGTGTGTCAACGTACAGGAGAAAAAGATACATGGATTGAAATGTCACGATCATCATGTATTGTTGCAAGACATTTTTCCAGTAGCTATACATGGTTTGCTACCCAAGGAAGTGTGTGATCCAATTATAGCCTTAGGAAAGTTTTTCAAGAATATATACTCTAAGTGCTTGACGATTGAAGATCTTGATATCCTAGAGGCTGAAATTCCTGTTATTTTGACCAAACTTCAACTTGTTTTCCCTCCGGCTTTCTTTGATGTCATGGTTCATTTGCCAATTCACTTGCCAAGTGAGGCAAAGCTTGGTGGACCAGCTCAATATCAGAACACGTATCCTATTGAGAGGTAATTTATTGTTTAATAATTTCGATGCTATAGTTTAAGAATGACACACAT